ACTCTAATTACCAGAAAAAGGGGCTAACCAAAAAAACACACACACACACAAAACAAAAAAATAGTTAGATCAAGTGAGAACGTTGCAGTCGGACGTAACTGACTGCTGAATACTCTGATACCAGGGTATTATCAGCTGAATCCATTAGTCGTTAGATATCTGCTTATCATGCTGCACAACGGAGATTACACAAAATAAATATACTCCTTTATGGTATCAGAGTATACAAATAATATGTGGTAGATATATATTAATGCTTTGGTGTATAACAGGTTGCACACACCTGTCCAGAGTTTCAGGAGGACATACGCGTGTTCTCACACGATTGTGAAGGGTGTGAAAAGAAGAAGAAGATGGTAATAACTATAAGTAACTGGTCAGCAGTTGAGTCGGAACAGAAGTATTTGCGGCAGGAGAAAAAAGTGGTCTAGAAAAGGAAGGCGTAGAGTGTTCAATTATGCGGCCACATTTGGTTGTCATTATATTTTTTTGCCTAACATCCGGTCTACAAAAACCCATGGGAATCTGAGTAAGAATCGTAGAGCTTTCGTTTTACTTATATCATTAAGAGAAAATATAATTTAGCCGCATTCAGCTTCGACTTTGAATGTATGCGCAATAATGCTCGTAAATGTTTAATGTGCATTTAATTTTACACACGGCCTAATGACAGCCAACCTGTGTGTGTGTGTGTGTGTGTGTGTGTGTGTGTGTATGAGTAACTGTTGTGGACAGCGGTAAAATTATAGCAAAAGGGTTAAGAAACAGCTGGCTGATATAAAATATGCCACTGGGAAATTAAATGGCATACCAGCCTTTTGGGCGCAATTGCCATTAGCATAGCCCTACTTGCCCTACCACTTACACTTTTCCAGTAAATTATAAGCGTGAGATATTAGCATTAGTTAACTTCTAATGTCGTCTGTTGCACATTATTCATAAGCCAGTTGGCCATCTCCCATATTCAAACCGATCAAAACATTAAGTTACCAACTGCTGTGCATTATTAATTTGTTATTCTTGTTTTTTTTTTTATTCATACGAATCGGATTAAGACAGAGAAAGACATATAGAAAGCCGAGAAAATATCAATGTAAGTTGACAAATGCAATCTGCAACGCAACTGATTTTTGCGAGCCATTTTATAAAGCAGAATGTTAGTCCCCAACTTTGAGCCATTTATTATGTGATATGGATAATGGGCCACGCATAGATGCAAAACGGAAAGTCAACAATTTGAAGGTGTCTAATTGTTGGATTCAATAGAAGAGTAATTTATTTAAAGCTCCACAGCTTGCTGTACAGACACTGTGAATCTCTCCCTGAAGGCTAATCCTAACGGCAATGACATATTTAAACTATAAGAAGAGGTCACCAAACAATAAGCTTGTGGAGATTATTTTAGGGACATTTCAATATTCATGCATCTTTGAACTTTGTGCAATGGAAAGTCTGTTTCACTTAATCCGGATTACATGTTTGTTTGTTTCTTTTTTTATAATGTATAATACGCTCCTAATTAGTTTTGTTGAAGTGCATTTAGAGGTGGGTGGATGGATTGTATTATGTTGTTATTTGTTTGAACAGCGAGGTTTCCTGGAAACGGGGATTATTATTGCTCTTCATTTGCCCATTTTATCCCTTTCATCCATTGCAAGCTTGTGCAGCATGTGCGGCGCCCACGTTGCGGCTCAAATTGCCCTGATTTATGTGTTCATTTTGCAGCTCAACTCTATTTATAGTTTTTAGCAGGCCTGCCCACGTACATTTTTTTCATATTGCATTTCAATCGCGTTGCGGTTTTAATACAATTTTTTGCTCAGCTTCGCTGGAATTCCTGCCATGCGCTGGATAATTAAATGAAGCGCATAGAAGCAAAAAAATAAATATTTATATATTTATATTGCATGCCTTTAGGCGGAGGCGTATGCTTAATAGTTGTCGTTTGTTTTATATGCGATTTGCTTCTGTTATTTCATCATTGTCTTTCACTTGAATGCCGAGCGAGCAGCCAATTTGTTCATATCGAGAGAAAGATTAGTGTAGTATTCCTGAACTGAGCAAAAAACATGATATTTGTATGTGAAAAGTATGTTTGCAAATCATGCTTACTTGAGCGTCCATTGAAATATTCATTACGCACGTGGACACTTTGGTTGCTTTCACAATTTTGAAAGTCATTCGAATCGTGCCCATTCCAAAATTGAAATAATTTACAAGTTGAGATTACCTTGAAAGCACTTTTAAAGAACAACTGTTTCACTTTTTGTTTTATGCACAAATATTTAATCAACCATTATTCCATTTTAAAATGTATACTAAAATATATAGATGTTAGATATATTTAAACTGCCGCTTGCCCAATTTTTTGCTGTCCAGGTGGCCCTGCTCTGTGTCTGAGTGTCCTATCGGTAGTTTGCTCTCGTTTGTGGTTGCTGCTTGCACGCCATTTCTGGCTGCAAGTGACAATGTATTCCTCTGACATCTTTAATGAATGCGGTTGACTATCACAGTACACAGTGCCACAAATATATATATATCTATGGTGTGTTTTTGTCTGTGCCTCTGTTCCCTTTACCCCTTCCGTCTTCCTCTCTCTCTCTCTCTGTCTGTCTCTCTCATTTTCTCCAAATATATCTTGGTCGGAATTGCCCTTTCCAAGGATATGCTGTAATGAAAATTTGTTGATTACTGTTTAGCTAGATCCCAAACAATTCTTCGAATTCCAGTTATTAAATTATTAAGTTGAGGCAAGGCAAGGCAAGACATAGTTCAGGCTTTAACTGACATGCTTAAATAAGTGACAAAACTTAAGCGAATGCGCTTTCATCTATTTGTTGTTGTTGTTGTTGTTGTTATTGCTGTGGTGCCTTTTTCGCTTCATTGCTGTGAATAATTCAGCAGTGAAAATTGTTGCTGGCACATGGATTCAGGTAACATTGATACAGCCAACTATACATGTATACAGGCACGTATTTATTTCGTCGCCCAAATGGGAATGGCTCTGGCGTCTGCTTGAGTCTTTTAGCCCTGTGGCTTGCATGCAAATTTTATGTTTTAATAACAAGTCTCTGGCATGCAAGCGGCCCATATTTTATGCCAATGGCCGTGCCACGCTCCAGGCCCTCCCAAAAATAAAAATAACGAAGCCACAAGAGTTATGCTGAGGGGACAATCCCATCCACAGGGACCAGCTATCATGTTAACTTAAGGGATTTCGCTTTGTCTTTGACTTTCACCTTTCGCCCAAAACCTGTTTATTTTGAGCCACATTTTTCTTCGAGCTCTTTGCCAAGTGCTTTGTAAATCAGTCATAAACCCCTTCCATCTCCGTGCTTAGAAATACTTCTCTCAGCTTTTTTCTAATCGTATATTATTGCCTCGCATTGTTGGAATTTTAAAATAAGCAAGTATATAAGCAAGTATTCCCCTTAGGGCCTCTTGGTAAGTAGATCACGCAAATCCTGCGTTGTCGTCCTGCGGTGCGTGTCTCATGCGAGTGAAATGCAAATGTGAATGCAAATGCATATGCTGCATAAAATATGATTGCCGTAATTAAATGTGTCCAGCTAGTGAAAATGTTGCAAATGCCCTTCACTTCCTTCCTTTCCTTTTTACAGACATTGAGATTGTGCCTGCTGCCTGCTTGTGACATGGCACAATGGGATGTCCTAGCATTTGGGTATTTTTAAAATTATATTTTCAGCTCTAAGATGCATTCTCATGCGCAGGTATGTTTATTCATTAGCAGCTTCCAAATTTAAGGCAAGTTTGAGGTAGGGGAAAAACATCGAAGATCACATTAGTTGGCAGAATACACAGAATACAACTCTTGTCAATTGCACATTAATCCTTTATTGTACTTGTCAGCACAATATCTTTAAGTTGGCAGCGGCTCTAATTAGAGTTGCCAATGAAATACAGAATTTTTAAATAAATATTTAGCTAACAAACAGGTTATAACAATCAAAGTTGTTGCATTTTTCCTGACAAAATGTAAATGAATCCTGATTTTATTTTGACTCTCATTGTATCCATGCTATGGTTTCAAGATTACGCTAAAAAACGTTATCATTTATGGGTAACCATGATTTTTATGACCTGTTCCCATTGAAAATGTGACAAAAATCAGCATCAGGAGTCGAATCGATCTAGGCTTGTCCATTTGTCTGTCTGCCTAGCCATCCATCTCAATATGAGCTAGTTTAAATTGGAAGATAAGTACTCGTTTACCATATGTAGATACATTTTTTTTATATATTGATTACTTGTTCCGTTTCCAATTTGATTACCGATAGCAACAACAACAAAGTACAATTTTAGTGATTTAGCTTTTCTATTGACATTGACAAATTTTTGGGATCAGAGTATCTCTCAGTCGAGCTTTCGCGAATATTACATTTTGACTTGTTGTACTTATAAAAAGTGTTGGATGTTACCAACTTTAGCGATTCTTGTCAAATATATAACATGCTGACAGTAGTAGAAGTTTAAGAGAAATCGCACATGACAACATGTTAATATAGTTGTTTGCATTAATCGTAATAATTTGAATCAATATATTCTTTTAATTTACTAATAGTTATGAATACTTAATTTTATTTACGCTTTTGATGACAGTTCTGATGTATAGGCCCCACTGTGGTTTGCGTTTCGAAAATATAGATTGTTGCTCACTTGGGATTTGTATTTTTGCTTTCTTTTTCTGTTACATGCAGTATTTTTTTGTTCTTCATTTTTTTTGGGTTCCATGCATTTTTCCGTTTTATTTCGCACTTAATTTAAAATCTTTGGCTGACGTGTGACACGCACAGCGATGGGTGTGGTCGCGCCTGCTGCGATTACCCACTCTCACCTTTCTCTAGCCGCCAAGCGACACCTCTACTTGCAACAAGAAATTGAATTTTTATTTTGTAGCTGTCTGTTTTATTTTCAGCTTAACAAACTAGTAACAAAAATTTGCAAAAAGCACAGAAAAAAAATACAAAAAAAAATGTAGAACGAAATAATTTGATTGCACACGGCAAATATATTGCATGGTCAACAGTTCTTGTAGATGGTGATATTCACCTCATAGTAGCAAATGGCCCGCTTGGTGACGCCATCCTTTGGATTAAGAGAGTAGACAGTGCCGTGTATAGTGTACACGTTGTTTGGTTGATACATAAACTTTAGTATTGCTGTATCTGGTGGCACTTGGATTACGTTCATCATATATACGCCCCGTTTGAGGGGACAGGCAAGACTCATGTTGCTGCCGTAACCCGATAACATCAGTTTGGAGATATTGTACCAGGCACTGACGCGTCGCATATATTTCCAAAATTCGCATGTCTTCACCGTCGAATTGTACAGTGTCCGCGATGGTTCCGCCCGCGATGAACCACGTCGCTTGCTCGGATGCTGCACGAGCACTATGTGCCACAGCGGTATTGCCACATCCTTGTGCACAGATGTGATCGATGACAGTGAATTGTTTCGCGGATACATTTTTAATAGCAAATTATAGTTCGGTGTGTCCCAGGTACTGATGTTCAACGGCTTCACTATATAACAAAACTGCAGGCACAAAAAACAAATATTATTTAAAATTCATGTTCGTAGTTACTACTTGATATTGATTGCAAAACTGCTGAATTGCTGTACAGCTCAATATAATATACATTCTATATATCTGATTAGATTCTATCAGATCAAATTTAAATACAGTTTTGAATCACTTTTCTGCTCTTAAAGGTATCTTAAACAAGCTCACAAATAATAAGATATTGATAGGGTGGCTGTGATTTGTATTTTCTTGCTGCTCCTGATAATGAACTCACCTGCTTGGACAGCTGCAGAATTCCGAGCAGTATAAATCCTGAAAGAATACGTCTATTGTAGTTCATAATGTGAAAACAAATGTACAAATTGTTGACAAAAAGTTAATTGTATCCAGATTGTTGGGAACTCTAATGATTATTTAAGTGATTTTTGATACAGCTAATTTTTTTTTGTATTTACAATCGTCATATATTGGGCTTAATAGCTCACTTTAAAGTTTGACTGTTGGACAAGTAAAGTCTCTCTGTCAATGTAAATATATGCATTTGAATATCAACTGTAATATGTAATTAGAATATTTGAACATAAAAACCTTAAAATGAAAGCAGTAGACTTTTGTGCTGATTAGTAAATGGGTGTATTTACTTAGGCTTCAGTCAACAGCATCTAATTCAGAATAACACACTAACTTGGCCAGCTCAGTTTTTCCAGCATTTTGTGGAGCTGAGGGGAGGGGCTTTATTGTCATCATCATCATTATCATTAGGTGCTTTTATATGGGGCGCAACAGTTTGTAACAGCAACTGTTAAAATTGTATTGTTGATTTAGCTAATTAGAATTCGCTTACAGTTGGCTTACAGTTTTGCTGCCTCACTTAACGCAGATTTCCGTCACAGTTAACTTTCATACGTATTCATTATGAGTTACCCGTTTCCGGTTCTGTTTGTGCTACCATCTTCAAACTCGCATTGGGTATGCAAAGTGTTGGGTGCTCTGACATCGAGACAACCACTACAACAACAACAACAACAACAGCAACAACAAACAGCAACAGCTATAAGAATAATGAGCATTTTTGTCGCCCAGCTCCCAGCTTTGTAATGTCTTTTGTTGACACACATAAGCATGCATTGGAGCTGCTACTGTTGTCTAGCTTCGGTTCAACTTTCATATTTACTTACCGGTTATTTTCCAGCAAATATTTACATTGCCTACCCAGCTATGTCTATGTCAGTGGCTGTTTAAATTCGACATACATATGGCCCACATATTGTCACAGTTTATACCCAGTTGCCCATTACCACATTTTTGTAGCCTACTTTGCGGCAGTTCCCTTCGCATCGTTTTTGCTTCCGCGTTGATCAGACCCTATGCGTGTCTCTTTGTTGACTTATAATAAAAAGCGACATCATAAAACTGCTTCACTCAATTTTCAATTCAATTTAGCACACACAAACACACACACACACACTGACAAAGAGCAACATCGTTTTCCTTTCTCCTTTTCAACAGCAAAAATATTAAGCAATGCAAATGGCCGTCGTTTCAACTGTCTGTTGGTTGTCTGGTAATCAGTTTCTCTGGTTATCTGGTTTGTTAGCGCAAGTGATTGGACTTGGTGCTATTTTTATTTTGGTTTTTTTTTTTTTTGTGCTTTTATCGTTTCAGTTATTTTGTGGTATTTGGTTGTTTAGTTTTGTTAGTTTTACCATTTATGTTGTTGCCCTGGCTACAATGGTGTCAACGAGTTGAGCGAACTTTACAGTTCGACAGTTTGAGCGACTTGATCAGAAAAATTAAAGAATTGAAAACAATCTAATATTAAGCATCATGCTCTTTAATATTTGCTTAAGACAAGACGAGCGTTGCCTCTGAGCATTGGTTTATTTGCAATTAATGGTCACAATACGCTTTAAAAATTCACTTTAAATGCTGTGCTTTATTTATAATTAGTACAACCCGAACCATTGCAAATATGTTATTAGTTAATTGCTCTGATTGTCTCTATTTCAATTTTAATTTCAATAAATACATTTTTACTAAAACTACACGTCAATCAAAAATCATTGTAACTACAGCAAGACATTTTATATCCTGATCCCTCGAAAATGTTTATAATGTTTATGTGCAAAAGTATTTAAAGTGCATAAGAGAGCATCATCGACTCTAAATCATCTAAATGACTATAAGGTATACACATGTGCATACATGAAAACATGAGTCTTACTTGATTTTGCTTGAAATTTTGTTATTGAGGCATCTCTATTGTGACCTTAGTTCAATCAGCGTCTAGCATTTATTTTCAGCTTGGATTATTCGCAGCTGCTCTTTGCTTTGCCCTTTTTTTCATTTTTCGTTATTTTGTTTTTGTCGATTGCTTGGATTTGATGGTATACAACTTTATTAGAGCTAGGGAGCTTTGCCCTATCAAGTGCGATTTATTTTCAAAAAAAAAAAAACAACAACAAAAAAAATGTGTCTATTTGGGTTGCTTTTATTTTACATTTTGAGTGCTTGTTGATGTTGTTACTTTTCGTGTTGTTGTTACTGCTGTTGTTTTTGATTTGTTTCAATAAGCTTTTATGGGCTTTTAGTTGGTCGATTGGTGGTTCAAATGGTTGCTATGTGTTTATTTTGTTGATTTGCCTCCGCTTTGGCTAAGAAAATGTCACAGAAACAACAAGAGCGAATAAATGTCAATATATTCAGTATTCCATTTAAGTATCGAGTGGAGGCCAATGCGCCCAAAAGTATGCCACATTAGTGCCAACTTTGCAAAGTGTTCAGGGTGACTCGCAACTCTCGCTTCTTGCGGGTGCCTTGAACGTTTTATTATTGCACTTTTCAGCAATAAAAACTGCATACACTTACACTCATGTGTGTGAGTGTGTTTGTGTGTGTGTGCATAGCGAGCGTTGCCGCCATCATCAGCAACAGCCACAGGCAATGAGACTTGACACCAATGCTGAAACTTTAATAACCTCAGACAGTGCGCAAGCCAGCACACATGCAATAAAACGTCTGCTGCCTCATAAAAACGGACCTGCAAATGCTCATATCTCATACATATATGAATTCACCACTCTTCTGTCCGATTTCCGTACTTACAAAAACAACGTCAAAAATGAAAGCTGTACGCTCATGATTATAAAATAATAAAAACATAAAAAGAAAACAAAATAAATATCCTGGATCACACTATAAATACTCTCCCAATTTATATAAATGCACGAAATGGTTATGTGAACCTACTAAAAATCTGTAAGTAAAATATTGCGATGTTGCATTGTAAACAAAGATAGTTATTACACTTATAACCAACTGATATATTTATATATGTATGAAAACTTGACTTATCTGAAAGTTGAATATATATTGACCATAGCAAATAAAATCTGTTACGATAACCTTCAGTTTCCTATCCACGAATTCATATTTATTGCTTTTTAAGTTCTTTAAGAGCTATCAGACTTGACTTAAATAATAAATAAATAAGACAATCATATCATTACAGATAATCTGTCGTTTTTTGCGTAACGCGATTACTGATTATTCTGATGTGTTGAGAAAACTCTTGGCCTCCACCCCACAAATTGTGAAAGCCTGTAGATATTTGTAAGAGCATCAACTTTCACCTGTTATTATATTATTGGTATCAAAATATTCTGCAATCGGTTCTGCCAGTCTATTATATATATTGTTTTTTGATAAGTTTGGTTTAATTTTTTTTATAAATTTCGGAATGAGAACTCAATTCTTAATGGATAATATTTAAGGGTTTTCAAGCTTACTTTTTATCGATACTTTTCGAGGCATGTGTTGTAAGTATCATTTATTAATACATAAACGAAATACCTCCAATATTTTATGCTGTCGACCTTATCTGTACACTTATATGTACACATATACTGCTGCAGAGAGAAAATAAAAATATCCTCGTGCAAGGGTATGAAACACCAACGGCAGTTGGTCAGGGGGGGAGGCGGACGAGACTGTCAACTGTCAGCAACGTCGCCATTGCAGCTCATGAACATGAGGACGCACACATTGCGCACAGCTCCCACAGCTCTTTCGGCTCTTCCACGGAACCACTCACAGTTTCTCAGCGACAACATGTTGCCCTTGGGGCAGGCCGTAAGGCTTTTGTTGGACCATCGAGTAATATTTATTTCCATGCTTTAACAGTGCGCCTATAATTGTTGAAGTTGACCAGGCGTCTTCTATGATTTAAATTAGCTGCACATTGACCTGGTACATGATTTATGTGTATGTATTTAAACGTATGATATTTTTTGAAGATGAGTAATTCAATTCAATAACTTTATAATCATTATTAACATAAGCAGTTAGTAGTTAAAGTTTTAGTATATTTACCTACCTTTTGAAAGAATACAGCTGTCGTAGATTGAGACATATAATGATTATGTTCATTTGATTTGTAGCTTGAATTATTTTGTTTATGTGTTTAGTGTTTATTATAATTGGGGTACCTGCACAGCGATCTTTTAGCTCTAGTATGGGACACATTGCAATTGCCTGGATAATTAGATGCAAAGAAGCCACCGCCTTAAATATAGTTGCTAACTAACTCAACTAGCCGCTCACAGTCTGGACTGGCAAGGACTGTCATTATGCTTGTCTACATGCTACAATATGAGTATATAGGTGTGAATGAATGTTTCTTTAAATTTACATATGTATATGTATATCAAATAAGAAAATCGCATGTGACAAAAGCATATCAAGTCCCAAAATTTTTGATAGCCAATTTTTGTGATGAGGAACATTCCATTTAACAAGACGAACTAACTGAAATAAGCCGATATTTGTTTCCTCCTTTATATGTATATTGTTAATAATTCTTTTGCTACCCTCACAGAGTGCTGTCCACAGTGACAACAACAATCTGTTTGCACGCACGCAGATACTGCCACAAATGCTGACGATTATGTGCAATGCACAAAAGTATGCAATATTTATAATGCGCATTACGACCTCTCTCCATGGAGAGTCGAGGCTGCGTGTGTGTGTGCGTGTGTGTGTGTGTGAGTGCGTGTGTGTGCGTGTGTGTGTGCGTGTGTGTGTGCGTGTGCGTGTGTGTGTGTGTGTGTGTGTGTGTGCGTGTGTGTGTGTGTGCGTGTGTGTGTGCGTGCGTGAGTGTAATAATTATAATGAATAATTAAACACACTCAGCACGCATAGCTGAATTGTGGGTGCACTCAAATCGCGGCCGAGTTCAAACTCGTGCAAGGGAGGCAAATGACATATTTAATTGCCACGCAGCTACATTTTAAATGTGAATTTCGATTATTCATTCACATGTTGCAAA